TTTATGTTAAAATGTGTATATAAGCCAAATATATAAAATTATAAATGTGTGTGTGTGTGTATACTTATACTTTCTATATCCAATATAATTATATATCCAACTTGCCGAGCACAAATTGCAAGATGCATCTTTTTCACAACACAGTATAGCCTTNTTTGTGCGTGTAATAACCGTTATCTTATATCAAAACCGATAAACTATACGATTTCAATTTTTTTGTTTACAAAATTGCCGAATGTGTATAATAATAACTTAACGGTTATTGCTCGCATAAACAAGGTCTCAATGCTGAAGCTGATACACTTCTAGACAAGGGGAAAAGACAAGCAGAGGGAAAGAATAGATTGTGCTGCCGGAGAATCACCAAATTAAAAGTAGCGACATCTGTCAGTCCTCCTGCAATGCTTACCTCAGCACGCCATGATATCATTTTGTTAGCATACAACGCGTGTCATCACTGAACAGCACTGTACCGACATATTGTTCACATGGCATGCTTTTCACGGCGTGCTGACACGTGATGTTTGCTGGGTAGATGACATATATTTACCGATTCTAGATAAATTGAAACAAAATTAATATGGGCACGTTGTATATATGTCACTATCAAAATATCAATGTATTTACTTTGTAAACCTTCGTTCCTGACACAGTAATGACGCAATTTTGACATATTCACATTTACACACACGACTAATTTTTATTTTTTTAAAAAACTGATGACTAATTTTACAACATTTTGTCATTAAGAAGAGAAGGGATAGTTGCAATAAAGATACATTATTAAAGTCTCTGTAAAATTATTTTAATTGTAAACTGATATTAAGATTACTTTTAATATAAAAACATGTAAATACACAAATTTTAGTAATCTGCTGAGGAAGATTTGAAATAAAAACCGAAACACAACACCCTGTATACGGTTTAAACTTGCCCGACCAAAATTAAGAGATATTAAATTCGTTAAGAACCCGATTCAAAACAACATCAACATAGTTAATATAGTTATCAACATAGTTAATAAGATACTATCTATGGACTACGTTTACACGTACCGATAAAACCGTTTTAGTAACAACCGGACTTAGGCTAGTATTACATTTGTCGTACGACAACGATTTTAAAGATGTTGATTAGTTATCAGATAGAGTTTTATAAAAAACTCTATTTGGTAGCCAATCAACATACGTAAAATCGTTGTCGTACAGAGAAGTGCACTATATCGTGCCGCGTGAGGAGAAGTATTTCTCCTCCGGCTGCCCTTACTATCGCGCACCGTTCTCCGCGAGCGGTCCGAGATCCGATTCATATACTGCTGCGGTCGATAATAACGACGCGGTTATTGATAATACCGACGCTCGTGTGTTATTATCATAATTACGAGCATCGAAAAAAAACAATACGTCAAAAATTCTGTTTATTAAAATCTGACAACGGAGTTTCGTTAATAAACCGTCGAGTTTTATATGTTAT